TCTGAATGAGGGGAAGGGAAGGAAACGCATACAGGAGACCTTTGGGCCACAAGGGCCCGATGACATCATAAGTTGTAGACTCAGTCCAATTGGTTACTGGACGGAGCAACCCCAGTCTGGCTGCTGTCTCCACGATCACAGAAAAATGGGCGTTGGTTCTTACCTGATATGCTCATTTCCTGTTGAAGTGGACCCACCAGCCAGCCCCGCCCTGGTATGCGTCACACACTGGAAATTTTTTGTGCGGAGGAAAGAGAAACAGAGACTATGGACTTGCACCTGTACGTTTTTCTCACAATTCTCACTTGAGTCTACAGTTTTCCTTTGCCTGAACTGGGGAGGAGCCACAAGGGCCCGATGACATCATAAGTTGTAGACTCAGTCCAATTGGTTACTGGACGGAGCAAACCCAGTCTGGCTGCTGTCTCCACTTCAACAGAAAATGAGTGTATCAGGTAAGAACCAACACCCATTGTCAGGTTTCTAGCTTGATGCTTTAACTATTACACAAAACTGGCTCTCCTTTTGATAATATATTGCTTTTTAATGGGAAAAAATTCCCATTTTCATATAGTATCACTAGAAATTAAGCCTTAATGATCCGTAATCAATTAGTATTCTGTGTGTTGATAGAATATATTAGTCATCTATAACCTAAAATATTGGAGTACCAGGAAAACCTCAGCTTTAGTGGATTTAGTGAACATCAATTAGAGAAGGCACAGAAGCAAAACTTACATTCAGCCATGATTGGGATCCAAAACTGCACAGTTGTTCATCAAGCTTCATTTAGAAATCTCCTTTCTTAAGGAAAATTCCATCCTATTGTAATATATTAGCATGTATATAAAGTTTATTTAGGGATTAGACATTATTGAATGAAATTACAAGGAACTTTCAAAGCCATAAATATCCAACTGTATTAATACAAACATTTGTGTTTCCCCTATCTCCACCCATATCTCCACCCACCCAGGTTGCAGAAAAAGCAGAATGTGTTGGTTCAGCTCTTCTTAATAGAGGCTTCAAACCATCTCCTGACCAGTTCATAGGACTCTTCTCTCAGAACAGACCTGAGGTAATCAAAGATCATTAGTCCAATAAATCCTATTAAAAAGAATGTTTAAAAATAGAGCTGTAGTGTTCAGTAAAATGCTTCTAGCGGTGGAGAATCTGTCCTGATAGGCATGATTCCTGTCCTCCTGTTGCCTTGAGTAATACTTGAGATATTTTTTTTTTGCTTTACCTTGAAAGATACAGTTTTGCTTACCTTGCCAAAGCTAGTATTTCTGTAAGTTGCCTGTAATTCTGCGTTTAATTGAACCTCAGAAATCTTGGCAGCATAAAACTAGCATAAATTAGTGCAATTAACTACTGTTGCTTCTGACAGACCTTTAGAAATAGTGCATAGTTATTGTTGTTTTTAATAGTACATGAGTTACAGATAGGCCACTGTATTTTTGAGATTGCAGATCACAAAATTGAGTTTTAACTATGATAGTTAAGCATTTTGCCTATGCATATACTGGCTCAGTTTATTTTTTATGTTTTTCTTGTAATTCATATGTATTTGTGAATTCAATTTTCATAAGAAGTTTTCACTAACCTGATCCAGGAAAATAGCTGTGAAAGTTATTAAATTTTTATTAAGAATGTTTATAAGTTCCCAACCTCTTCACTTAGTGACATTTATCTTGCTGTCATATTATCCCTTACTTTATCAGCTTTACCCAGGAGTTTATAATGTTGGAAATATATACAAATGGTGAAATAATATATAGTTTTCATTGCAACATATTACTTAGTTAATCCATTAATTTAGATTCCTATAATGCAATAGCTCTCAATCTTCAATATAAAGAAGTAGTCTAGTTATGCTCTCTTCTGTGCAGGAAGTTTGATACAATGTCTATTTACCCATAGTTTTATACATACCTTTTTTTTCTAATTCCTTTGTACTCCATGTTCAGTAATCTACGTGCCTAAAATTAATCTAGTGTTACATATCTATGTTCATATCTTCACCCATTGTGTGGGCTACAGTGTTAGTCTTTTATGTCCTAACACATAATGACATTGTAGGTTTCAGCTTGGTCACTATTTACCATAATTATCTAATCTACAGAATCTTTTTTTTACATGTACACTCAACAGTTTAGCCTAGGAGTGTCAAACTGAAGGCCCACAGGCCGGATCCAGCCCACAGGATGCTTAAATCTGGTCTGTGGGGCTGGCCTGGAAATAACAAAGGGTACTGGTCCAGGGTGTCTCTGCTGGCCAAAACGCCCCTCAGGCCCCCGCATGCAGACTGTTTTTGGCCCCTATGGCCTCCGACAGCAGTCTGGTGGCCAAAAACAGGCCACAGTGGGACCTGTTTTTGGCCCCCACGACCTAAAGCAATCTGGCAATTGAAAATGGGCTCCTACAGCAGTCTGGCAGCCAAAAATGGGCCACGGGAGGTTCGGTTTATGTTTCCTTCTCCGCCCCTTGCACTCTATCTTCCTTCCTGTTGGCTGCTTTACACGTGATTCCTGGCTTCAGGAATATGGAACAGGCCTAATCCAAAGAGTTTGCAGTATCTGTGGCTGTATTGTGATTTGTTTGGTTTTCACTTACAACTGGATTGTATTATCTCCCCCATAATGGTTGTAAACAATATAGTGAGCCTAAAAACTTAAAATACAGAACATAATTGGATGTAGGATATAGTAGTATGCACAAACTGTAAGATTTTTTTAATTGCAGTATGTCATGTGAAAATGTCTAGTGGTTATTTCTAAATTATGATTTACTATGTAAAGCTCAAATGGCTGAATTTACAGAACACAGAGTCAAAATCAAATCATATTATGACTGGATCGTGCAAATCTGGCAGATAGAAGGCAGATGTTGTCAGATATGCATAAAACCCAGTGAAGTCAGTGAGGTTTAATTGTGTATCCAGTTGTAGTCCAAATGGACCTGGAAATATTTCTGCACAGCATGCATATTTTCTGAATCTTTCTAGACATTTAGCAATATATTGTAATGATTTTGTTGTGTTGTACAGTGTTCCTCTTTACAATAGATATCTAGAATAAAAAAATAATGTTTTCAAAAACTCTATTAAAAATAAAAAATGGGAGGTCAGCTAAAGTATTCTACATAGAGATAGTTAATATTTCAAAGGACAGATTCAACAGGGAAAAGGGAAACCTGAGTTGATATTGCCTAAGCATTAACAAAGCGTGTACAGTTTTGTTATTTGGGGATGGAGAAGTGCCATAAATAAGGCAGATGGATTAATACACGAAGAAGACAAAAAGGAGATGTGGATGAATTAAAGAGAAATGAATTGTTTTGCTTAAAAGTATTTTAAGGTTCTAAATGTTAATTTATCATTCAACCCAGCAAGTATAAATATAATACCCTGTGGGTTGTTTAGGTTGTCTTAACCAGAGATGGGCTTCAAATCCCGGCACTACTAGTTTACTCGTGCATGCATCGCTTCTGCGCATGCCAGGAAGCTTTTCCTCATGCACAGATGCGTCCAGGTGGGCGAACGGAGCCTCCTGCCACTGCCACTACTAATTCGGCCGATCCGGGCCGAATTGGGAGCAACCCACCTCTGGTCTTAACTCACATTAGGCTTTTAAACATCTCTGTTCTGACAATATTATGCATATATTCAGATCTGCTCCTATACAAAAGAGTCAAGCTCCATAGCAGCTGGGGACTCTACATGTCTTTAATCTCTACATTATGGAATTGAGACTATTTGTGCCAGAAAGTAAATCTTACTTTGTCTGGAATAACTGTTTTGAATGCAAAGGGGAAAAATGCATCTTGAGCCTGTGTCAAACACCCACCATGGCCACACCCTGACCATGCTCACCCCGTCACTTTGAGGTCAAACATGATCTTGATGTGTCCCTCAATGAAATCGAGTTTGACACCCCTCATTTAGCCCATTTAAAGTGCTAAAGTTTACATTAAATGGCCAAGTAGGAAACAAAAAGTGTAAAAACTTAGTTCAGATATCCTGTACTCTTAACTAGCACTAGCCCTTAGACTTCTATACCACTATATAGAGTGCTACTAGAGCCCTCTTTAAGTGGTTTACATAGTTTGCATATTGCCTCCAACAGTCTAGGTCCTCATTTTACTGACTTCAGAAAGATGGAAGGCTGAGTCAACTTTGAGCAAGTCAGAATTGAAATCCTGACAATAAGCAGAATCAGCCTGCAATATAGCATTCTAACCACTGCACCAGAGGTAGTGGAAATTTTGAGTAGTTCGGAGAATCGGTAAATACCACCTCTGACTGGTCCCGCCCCCATCTATTCTCTGTCTCCCAAATCCCATCTGTGTGTGTGTGTGTGTGTGTGTGNAGAAAGCAAAATGGGGAATTGTTCTCGTCTTTTCCTATGCCCAGACAAGATAATCTTGTGCTTTGTCTCAACATAATCGTGTTTGTACAATAATACTTTTTCTTTTAAAAAATATAATTGTATATGCATGCTAGAACTGTCACCTATGAGCTTTACAAATATAGACAATCACTATAAATCAGCAAAGGTAATATATACATCTGAATCAATCTGATAGCAAATTCCTATTTTGCCTTTTATCAGTATTTGAACCTAAATAACTTAGTTTTTATTACTTTTAAATATTGGTAATACATTACAATTGTTTTTTGTAATGATGCCTTTGTTTCCTTTTTAGAATGTGACTTTTACCACAGTCCAAAGAAAATATTTTAATGAAACCAAAGGTTTGGAATACATTGGACAATTATGTACACCAGAATTCAGCACTGTTTTAATGGAAGTTCAGTCCAAGTATGTATGTTCTAAAAATAATTCATTCACTTTAGTTTATTGTATTGTTGATCATTTTTCAGTTAGTAACCTGAGAATAATACCTATAACTCTTCTTTTCTTCTATTTGACTCAGTAAGTATTTTTAAATATAACCTCACAGGTATTGACTTTGACCCAAGTTGTGTTTTATACTGAAATGGATCCACAGGACATGAATAAAAGTTCTAGTAGTTGCCTTTTTGGGGCCTCTTGGGACCATGAAAAAACATGGGATGTGGCATGCAAGAATATAGTGAACATGCTGGATAATCAACAAATGAAAGCTTCTATATTTCCTAGTTAATTTGGATTCAGCCCTTACTTTGTAATTATTTTCCTAGCAGATGATTCATTTACGAGTTACTCTCCTTTTGCTGTCACCATCACTGTGTCTTAGTTCTCATGATAATATCATTGTCAGGTGCATGAAATCAGGAACCATGGTTGTTCAAAGGAATGCAAGTTTATTCCATGCCAATCCTAAATAAGAATCTGAAGTACTAGCAGTTAAGGAAAATTGGGGGTAGGTAAGAGTCAGTGGAGTTGAAGAGGGGCTGGTCATGGATCTCTTGTGCGTGCAAAGGGATTCCAAACGGATGATGTACTTGACCTCTAACTTGGGTCCAGCCTGGTCATCTCCTACTTCAATTCTGCAAAAGAATTATTATTTGCTAAATAAACTCTTAATCTGAGTAACTGGGTAGGGTTTATAAGTATCAGTTTCAATGTTAAA